CTGGTGGGTGTTCAGGGCTGGTACCAGCCTAGTGAGTGGCTCTGAGTGCCTGTGCCCTGCACTCCTCAGATATCTCTGCTTTAAAAGTACTTTGCAATTTCAGACCAGCATCCTGGAGGCAGGCAAACACTCCTCCATTGTCCTGTTGTATACTTAAGTAAGTCCTTTGGGATGCTTTGCAGAAATGTAGCCTCATGGTGTTTTATCTATGTGTTTGATATTTTCTCTAGCACACTAGTGTGGGTCTGCTAAAATGCTAACTCTAACTTTTCTCAGTAAGGTGCCATAGGTGTCTTTGCTTACGTATTTTTCATTCCAGAAAATACTGCATATGTGCACACTGGGTATATGTGCATCTTATTTGTCATTCTTTTTAGACTAGAAGAGAAAACCTTTAAATATGAAAAATTCCATAGAAATCTGAAAATTTACAGTATTAGAGGAGGCAGTGTACAATTCATATTCATTAGAAGAAAGTTCAAGAGATGTTCTTGCATGCCAGAAGCTCCTGGTAGTGAAAATAACCAAAGATGTTGCATGCCAAATCCTACTTATTAAAACAAAATATACTGATGCTAGGTTCTGCTTTCTCTCTGTGCAGTGTAAAAGCAATGCAAGGTTTCATAACACTTCAGTATACTTGGAGGCAAGACACAGTATCTTCTGGGAATTACAGTATTGGAACTGCCTCTGTGCTTTATTCAAAGGTAAGAAATGGGCAGGGATGTACTGCTCCAGAGCACACTGAAGCGTATAAGTGTGTTACCATTTTACTGCGCTACTGCAGGCTGACTCTTGTCCTGAAATTAAAGTAAAACAAAAGCGAAAAAAACCCCCAAAGCTGGTAATTGGCTGGGATGATGGCAGTGTGAGCTCATCCTTCAACCTCAGGGAGGGAAGCCAGCTTAGTCAGAGAGCCAGCAGTGCTCATCCAATGAAGCTGTCAAGTGTGAGCTTTCCTGAAGCATAGTCATGCTGCAACTTGAACATTTATCACTGCAGTTTAAACTATGGACTGTGATCATAAGGATGACAAACAAGGTATTTTTCTGCCGTTTTTCTATATAGAAAGAAACTTCTGAAAGGCTAATTTTGTGATGTTTTCTTTTACTATCTAATACTGGATGCACTAAATCCTCTTGTGGTGATCTCTCAGTTAGGATTAGTTGAATTTGCATGTAACTGGAAGAACTGGGATGTTCAGTAAGCGTGTTTTGGTCAAAGTACCTTAATGTCTTTCCCTCTTCCTTTTCACTGTCCTGGGTTTGTGCTGAAGAACAACTTCAGTTGTACAAATTCCTTTCCCTCCTTTAGGATATCTCTGACCTTATTCTTTCTGAACTTTGCATCTTAATACTTTTGTTAGAACTCCTTCCCAGATTCATGCTGCTGTAAACTGGTCTGAGTCAGGCCTTGTGATGCTGGTGGCTTCTTATCTAGTAATGGTAAAAACAGAGCCAAAGTCCACACAAGTGGAGGTTTGGAAAGCTGTGCTAATGCAGTGCGTTCTCACTAGCCTGAGTCCTCTTGCTAAGGTCTTCTGGATACTTTTATGTGTGGTAGCTGCAAATTTCAGCCACCACCACTAAGAACAGCATCAACTATTTTGATGGGGCTTTTCCTTTAATTTCTGGGCTGGTTTGTTGTGGGTTTTTGGTTTGTTTATTTTTAAAGGGTTGAAAACAAGAACACTTCAAGTTGCATGCTAGCTTTTGGACAATTTTGTTCTATTTTTCCTCAAAGTGTAGAAAATCTACGGCAGAACTTCAGAAAGCTATCTGGCAGGTTAAAATTTGATCTAATGGTAATATCTTCTGGTATACAGAAAACGTTGCATTCCTTTTATTGGTATTATGTGACTGATCAATACAAAAACACATAGAAGCATCAGTGGAAGGAAAACTGCTCCAAGGTTGTCTAGTTTGGCGAGAAAAATAGCTTGTGATTAGGTCAGAAACCACTGTTAGTAGTATTACCTCAGGTATTGTGTTACTGTTATTGAGCTGTTAACTCTGATGCATTTGCAGTGCTGCAAAAAGCAATAAGGGAGAATGCATTAATGCTCCTGAAAGACATAGATTCAGTTAAGGGTGGGATGTGGGGATGGCGCATAGAAGCATCCTTAGATGCTCAGCTCTGGGTTTCAGCACAGCTCAATGGTGCAGGAGCCAGACAGGCCCTGAGTGTGCAGGTTTGGTTTGGGTTTTATACCTGAAAAACAAGACTTCAGAAGCTTTACCTTTCGAGCATTAAGTTACTCACTTTCCAGGCCCTACTCAAAAACTGAATGCAACATTTTTCAGCCACTTCAACTTGATATATACCATTTAGTGGCTAAATCTGAAGGAGCCTTTCACACCTCCCCTGGTGATGGGCAGCGGCACTAAATGTAGCATGTGAAAGCTTCTTGCTTTGAGTTTCCTGGGGGCATAGACAAGCCACATTGTTCGTGCACCTTGATCAAAGGATGAGACAAGAAGGAACCTTGTCTAACTTGGCCAACTTTGAGTCTGGGCTTCAAAAGCTGCTGCCAGGCAGGAAGGGGGAGATATTTTAGACATACCTTTCTCCTTGATTGGGCTGGGAAAGCAGAGCATACAGCAACCTTTCCACCTCTATGTAATTTTTGCTACCAGGGATTCATTTTCCTGCTGTAAGATGTTTTTTTTTTTTCCTCTCTTAGTGAAGTTTTGAAATAGGAAAGACTGACTTTTTGAAATCTTCGCTTGTGTACTAGTTGCAGTTTAGAGAAAATTTTCCATCTCACGTGTCCATAATTTCTCCTAGAGTTATTTTCATCCTGTTGAGAGAGGCCTGGAAAATGAGCTAAGATGTTGTGCTTAGAGAAGGGAGGAATACCCTGGCTCCGTGATACAGGGTGGCAGAGGTCCATAGTTTGTAGCCAGGGTGAAGGGGAGGCAGTGTGTGGGAACAGCTATGCAGCAGCCTGAGGAAATGAGTCACTTCGCTCTGAAACACACTCCCATGGTTCCAGTAGCACTGAAGCCAAGCTTGGCCTCGGAGGTGGAAGTTGCGTAAGTTAATTAAAACTTTGTCTTTTCTTCCTCATCATGTTCTCAACCCCACCTCAGTATTAAAACCTGCACTGTATCCATATCCGTGTGCTGGTTTGAAAGCAAACCCCACTGACAGAGTCAGAAAGTAACCTGAAACCCTGTCAGTCATGGTGTTGGTAGTAGTCTGATGAAATGGTGGCTGCAGTCCTCCTGGAATGGTCTGTTGGAGCAGTGATCCCGCAGATCCGGTCCTCTCCCGAAGGTCCAGTGGCAGCTCTTGTCCTCTGGGAATCCAGCAGGCAAAGGGCTCCCTGTGCTGGTCCAACCCCCAGCTTATATCCCGGTGGGAATTCTCGGCTCCCCCCTCCCATATGGGAATGCTTAGCTCCCCCACCCACCCCCAAGTGGGAATGCTTGGCTCCCCCCCTGGGGTGAAGCATCTCACAATGGGACGAAGTAACTCTATGCATGCCTGGATCCCTGACAGCCCATTAAACTGGGACAGCCCCTGGGGGAGCCATCAGGGACGAGGAGATAACGATCACTGTCCCACCTGCTTTAACAGCTTGTGGAGGCAACAATAGAATACATACCATTGGATACCCCCACACTGCAGCCCAGGACAATCCGTTTAGAGGAAGCTCAGGTTACAGGACTTCAGTGTGCTATATAATTTTGGTTTATCTTACGTTTTAGAGAGAGATAAATGGATTGCAATGGATTCATTGGAGGGAATGTGTGTGTTTGTCTTACCAGCTTCACTCAAGAGAAACTTGATTATGCAGGGGAAGGGATATAATAAGAATAGAGGTTTAACAACTTGTTATAATCTTTCTGAAATATATTGGCAGTGTGATTTGCAGTGAAATGGAGTGCATGCTGAAAAAGATAATAGTAGAGACCTACACTTAACTTGAGCGTTAGTAGTAGTTTAAGAATTTAATTACATTTAAAACTAAACATCTTAAAAGGTTTTAGGTGTCCTAGTAGAAATACTAGTGTATGTGTTAACACATTAGACCTTAATCCTGCAGTCTAGGCTCTTAGTTTGTGCGTAGCTTTTTTTCCCCGAGGAAGAGGAAGATAGGAGGGTACAATTGTCCTAGGCTACTTGTTCCAGATAGGCTTTCTCCTATCATGTTTGTAGCTTTACACTAACAGATACTTGCTGGTGTCTGGGAGCAGCTGTAACAATCTGCCTGAATTGCTTTTCTTTGAGTGTGACCTGAGCAGGAGCAGTCGCTTTCAGCTGTTGAAGAAAGCATCTGAGTGCGCAACAGGTTGAACAGGCCTTGTCCTGTCTTCAGTGCTTGGATGCTTGGTGGACAGTTCTTAATGGGAAAGCAGCTCCAGTGATTGAAGGGTGTGTGTGTGTGACCGGTGGGCCGCTACCTGACCCTTTCCTTCAGAACACTGAGTTGAGCATCTTTCTGCGTTTTTGGCTCCAGCCATTGTGTACATGTGTCTGTTTCAAAGGTCTTTGGGAAATGTGGCCTTTTGGCAAGCAATGAGGATTTCTGGTTTTGTGGTTTTGAGTTGAGATCAGAAACAGATTAGTCTGTCTACAGGAAGACATAGAAGTAATTGGCCAGAAGAGAGAGAGTTTAAAGAAAAACCTTCAGGATGAGCTTATGTGATGAGTCAGAAGTCTGTGTGCCATTGGGAGTTGCATCATGCAGCTTGTTTTGTTTTACATTCTTATAGCAGGTCATATCTATTGTTTCTTACACGTATTATTCTGGTCTTCATTTCATGGGAAGACATACACAGTGTTGCTTATCGTGTGAGCGTTTATAGGGCAGTTATGTCTGTTGATGATTCATTGCAATTGCTTCTCTGTTTCAGAACCTGTAACTAAGTGGACCCTACTGACCTCTCAACCACAAAGTGTAAGAGTGAAAAGTGTGAGAAGCACACAAAGAAAAAGGAAGTGAATGCACTTTCATCTGGGCTTCTTTCTGGCCCTTTATTACTAAAACTGAATGGAAAAGAGAAACTTTCGTGCCTTTTCTCCCCCAGCCTTAGGGATGGGTGGATTGTAAATACAGCGTGTGCATCTGGGAGAATAGACTGAACCATGAATCTTCAGGCTCATCAAAAGTCATCAAGCAAAAAGACTGGGAAACGAGTTGCCTACTTTAATGATCAGGAAATAGCTGTGTCGTCAAAAGAACCACAGCAGCAGCTTAAGGAAGGACAGTACTATGGTCACGGAGGGAATATACCAGTTTCCCAAACTATGGAGATGTCTCACACAGGAGGATTAACAAGTGCACCCAACAACGTTGCTTTGATGAACTCTGTTTACAATCAAGATAGGGGAGAATCAATGATGATGCCTCAGTCAGTAACAGCTGTCAAATGGCAGAATTCACTAATGGGAAACCGGTTGCCAGAGAGGGGTGATAGCCACTGGCAGTCTCCACCTTCAGTGTGGAACCATAATATGGTTTTTGGGGGCAACCCAAAAGGACCCCACTCCAATGCTGGTGCCCCAGGCTTCTATGGCCACCCAGAAGCCCTTAAAAGAAATCAAGAGAAAGGAGTGTTTGTGTCACAGCTGGACTTATATGGAGATGCTGTCCAGCAGATGATGTCCCAAAAGGCTCAGCTAGAACAGCAAGCCCTGGTTAGACAGCAAGCTCAAATGAATTCTTTTCATCAAATGCAGAAACAGCAGCAGCAGAATCAAAGTCTGCCATTGCAGCCTTTCCAACTTGCATTTGGTCACCAAGGCCAAAAGCAAGGTCTTCCTGAATTGTTACATGTCTTTCAAGAAGCCCCAGCCTCTTCCAGTCCAGCATTTACTGCTCAACAAAAACAGCAAGCTCTTCCCCAGCTACAGCTGTTTGAAAATTTCTATCCTCAGCAGCAGCAGCAACAGGCTGCCACGCAAGCCTTTGGTCTGCAGCAAACTACTTCCATAGCACAGCCACATGTGGCAGCTGCAGCCCCTCAGCATCACATGATGGCACACCAGTTACAGCAAACAGAGAGGAACCAGGAACTATTCAAGGCATTAACAGAGCAGAACCAACAGACTGTGCTACCTCAGACCCAGATTCCCTTTCCAAGAAGGTCAAGAAGACTCTCCAAAGAAGGTGTCCTGCTGACATCTGCAGAAGTGTTGACTTCCAAGCAGGCAGAAGAACAACATAGCAATTTATTTCTGCATCACTGGCAAACACATCAGCAAGAGGTCCCATTACAGCAGCCACCTGAATCACTGGTCCACAACAAAAGTAGCTATTCACACCATGATGGGCAGAAGGATGTCCTGGTCAATAGTGAGCAGTGCCAGATGGAAACAGACAGGCAAACCACAGCCCATAATGGTAGAGATGAGGAGAAACAGGCAGCAGCAGCTGAAGAAAACACTCAGACAACTAACGATTTTCAGGGTGTCAGAGGTGGTGTAATTCAGAGTACCCGCCGGAGACTGCGTGGTTCTCAAGAAGCCAATTTGCTGACTTTGGCCCAAAAAGCTGTTGAGCTGGCTTCTCTTCAGAATGTGAAGGTAAGGTGTACATCCTAACCAATATAGCATGTTTTAGACTACAGAATAGGGCTGAAATGAGAGGAATTTAGGTACATATGTGGGTTAGGATGGTATCTTGAGGTGTACAGCAAGGGCAGCTCTGGAGTGCAGGCATGTAGGCTCAGCTGCTGTAGTTCCTAGATGTGTGAGAACAGAGATCTAGTGCAGTGAAACCACCTAACAGCAGTTCTATTCCACTAGCACTGAATGTGATTTTTAGCCTGGGACTTCAAAACATAGATGTTTTCAGCCTAGGCCCCAAGGTAATGACAGGTGTAAGCAGTTTGCTTGGTGTCTTTTTACCATTTTAACATTCTCTTCCTTTTCTGTTGGAAGACTGGTGCTTACCTGCCAGTTTTTCAGTTTCAGCATTTGAAACAGTTGTGGTTTGACCAATCTTTCACGGAGTGCCTCTCATGAGAAGTAACCATACACTTTTCCTTGGAAGCTTTCTTGCCAAAGGCTGATGAAATACAGGTGATACAGTATGAGCCACTTTTACCTGCAGTTTTTCCAGTTGAGTTGCTGCCCATTCAGACAACAAAGTGAAGGGCATTTTATTACCTGTCTTGTTCTCATCATAATTTTTTTTCCTAGTCTGTCTGATGTTGGTTTTTTCCCATCTTTTCCTTAGAGGAATGTGCTGTTTGAGTGAAAGAACTGAACTAATAAACAAAGAAGCAGGTATCCATAGCCTACTTAATGTCTTGCACAGCAGACAGCAGACAGTGACTGTTGGTTGATACTGCCTTCAATCCTTTTTCCACTAACTCCAGTTGAACAAGCAGATGTGATAGAAAACAGTAGTGTGGCCTATTTGCCCATACTTTGCCAGTCATTGTGTGGTTATATTGCAGATGGCCTACAGTTCACATTGCACTCTGATCACCGAGAGAGTGGCAAGAAAAAGCAAATTGAGCATCTAGAAAAGGCCCTGATGAGAGCTGAAGTAGAAAATTGGACATTTCAAGGCACATTTGTTTGCTGCTTGATTCATAATGCAAAGTCCAAAGAGAGAACTCTTTTGAGAGATGCTCTTTTGTTCTTTGCAGTTCTGCAAGCAGCTTGTTTGCTTCCATGATGGCACCAGCAGAAGAGCTATGTTTAGGTCTCTTCAGGCTTTCAGGATGAGGTTTTGAAAGATATTAAAATTTGTACCTGAGGTCTGATGGATTTTACATCTTTAAGGGGTTGGATATCATGTGAGGGAGAAAAATAAAACGTTTACTGGGCAAGAGTGGTTCTGCTTCTCTTACTAGTGTCTTTGTGTTGTAAACAATCTAGAAGCCTAGCATAGATTATGTGAAGAGTGTGTAGGCCATAGAATTAACTCACTGATGAAAGGAGATACATGCATTTGAATCAGTCGTTTGACCATTCCAATATAGGTATGTGCACCTTATGCAAGAACAGTATTCTGGACAGCAGTATCTGTCTACATGCAGTGTCATGACTGATGCTTTACACCAGAGCTGCCTGTCACCTGTGTCTGCCTTTTTCAGGTGGTGCAAGCTTATTGCTGCTTACAGGCTGCAGTAAATTCTAAACACCTAATTTTATGGTTTCATTTCACAAATAGCTGTTATAGGCAAAAAGGACATGTGGTTTGTTGTCTTTAATAGTACAGAAAACTTTTCTCAAATCTGAAACAGTCATTTTAAAGGGTGTTTGGATTTAAATACCCCTTTATGGAAGGGAGACAGAGGTGTTGGTTACCTGGCCCCTTTCCCCTGGCACAGGGGGTAAGGCACCAGCTGCTACATACAAAAGAAAAACCAAAAAGTTTTATTTGTGGAATTGTAGTTCTGAACTCAGCACCTTCACGAAAAAGCTTCAGTGTTACTGCAGAGAGAAGCTGCCTCTACTTAATGCAGGTCATACAGAAGGATGGTAGAAAGCACTGTATGGGCAGGTGTTTCTAAAAAGGCTGGTGTGGTTTCTTGTGGGATCACAGCAGTGGTCTTGGAACAGTTCATCCAGCTGGTGCAGTTGGGTTTTGTGAATTCTACAATTTCTAGAAACAGCTTGAGGGATTGATAGGATCAATGCCAGAATGTCTGATGGGTTTCTATGTGTGTCCTGGAGGACACTAGATCACTGTTCATTCCTCAATATTTATGCAAGAATCTGAAAGTGCAACAAGTTGCACTTGCTGGTGTTACCCAGCAGCAATCCTGCCCCAAATTCTGCAACAGGGATGCTGAGCTAGCTGAAAATCCCCTAGCAGTTCTACAAATGAAGGCCCTGACACTTGTTCACACTACTTTCTGCTTACCTCTGAGAATGAACAAACAGTCAAGAAACAATTTAGGGATCCAAAACAAATAGCTTAATTACAAAATTAGTCATGTCCTCTCTTAGTAAATCTCAGGTGTGTGTGATCTTTCATGAACAGAAAAGCTCTGGTGTAGACCAGTGCATCTTTAGGGATGTCTTAACTGTTGGTTCTCAGTGTGCCTTTTCTCTGTCTCCACTACTGTTCAGGTCTCCTCTTCTTCTTTTCTCTTGAAGTGGTCATCTCTCCCATCTTTAAGGAGGAGAGTACTTTGCTGGTTACGTTCCAGTCTGGAAAATAAAAGAAGCATGGTTGGTTGATAATACAGCCAGAGAAAAGTGACATCTTTTGTGTGACTAGCTGCCGTAATTGTCTCCTTGTAGTCAGGAAATTACTTCATGTCTGTTGACCTACAGAGATATGTGTAGCACACAGGAAGTACCTGAGGCTTGTAGATTGGTCAGAATTGGTGCTTGTTTACAAATTCACTTTGTCATTACTTGTTCTATTGCTGTACCCAGAAAGTATGCTAGAGTGCTTGCACTAGTAACAGCTAAGTCAGGTGGAAAAAAGTGATCTGATTAAAACCAAGGCTTTTCTTGGCAGCAGTCTAAAGAATGTAATGTAAATGCAGTGCTCTAAACAATGGTTCAGAGCTATCTGCTGTGGATCTCGCTGCCAGTAGATGACCCCAGAGCTATCCCAGGTGTTTAACTTAGCTTCAGCAATAAAGTGGTAACAGCATCAATTTCCCTGACGAATGGAGGCCTGTGTATAGCAGCGTGAGGCTGCGTGTGAGCTGCTGCTTCAGGTAGAGACAGAACTAGGGGGCACAGATGTCTCTTTCCAGAAGATGACCAGTTCATGTGTGTAAAAGGCATCCTTGTCAGTCTCTCTTTCCTGAAGTAGTAGAGGGAGGCTACAGAAATTTACAAGAGCCTGTTACTGACTAGAGGTAGCGGTTCCTAGTGACATGTCTGTCAGCCTGATGAATGCCCTCCAAATCCGAAATTTGTGGTTGTATGGTGGTTGTCACCAGCCTGGAGTGAAGGCAGGTCCTCAGAGCTCATTCATGTCTCCTGAAGTGCAGTCTGGGGCAGCAGATGCCACTTGTGACTTTACAGTTGTGTGTTTCAGCATTGTGCAGAAGGGACAAACATCCACAGTCTCTGAAGAAACAGTCAGCAGTGCCAGTTATGGAATAAACCTTTCTGTGCACACTTAGCCCTACTCTAATAAAAGGTCTTGGAAGGAGGCAGTCTTGAATCTTCTTGATATGCTAGATTTTATGTGCTCAGGCTTGGTACCTGTCTCATTTTGAAGGCTTAATGTTTCCCAGAGAGGACCTGTTTGCTCTTAAAACCAACGAAAATTACCAGGACTCTAATTTGAAGAGAGACCAGAGCACTGTGTGCAGGCTCTAACTGATGCATGTCATGACAGGATGGTTGTGCTTCCCTCAGTACAAATACAATAGCAAAGTGGGACTTCAGCCTAGTGTCCTTATAGCTACCATGGATTGAACCCTTCATGGGCCAGCTGGAACATGATCTCTTACTCATCAGTGAAGCTGAAGTGCTTTCTCAGTCCATGACCACAGTGAAACGACTGGGGATGTGTTTGAACCCTTAGAACAGAACCTGCCTATGCTAGTTTTTTAATCGGGATTAGGTACTCAGAATGACACACAATAGGTTCTGTTTGAGGGCTTCAGTAAATCTCTGCAAAATTTTGGAAATCCAGGTTGGAGACCTCTTGTCATACCTGAGAGATTATGTGCCTTAGTTTCTACCTAAAAAACACAGCTGTTCATGTAGATTCTTCAGTAGATTGTGGCTCTGACTTGCATACCTAATCCTATCCAAAGGCTTTCCAAACAGAGCTTGAAGTTGGGGAGATGCTCCTTTTGGTGTTTCAGAACATCTTCTACAGCTTCTACACTGCACTTCATCAGGACTCAGGAAAGCCTTTTACATCCCTGGAGAGAGGTGTTTTTGAAAGTTGTACTTTAACATCTGGCTTCTAAGTGAGCTGACTTTTGAATTGAGAGTGGAATGAAGGTGTGAATAGTAATTCGAAGGACTAGAAATCTATGATCGCTGGCAGTGCCTGAAGCCATTTGGTGTTACAGTATCCATGTGTATATTCAGTAACTCGTCCTCCATTCCCGTCTCCTTGGAGCTCAATTTTCTGAGTTTTCCATGAGTAAAACAGACATGGAAACTGTATGCAAGAAGTGGTGTCTTCCATTCATGGCTTGTTGATTCTGCTGAGCAAAAGTCCTTCAGGCTCAAGCCTGGTTAGATAACAAAACAGACTCAAGCCTGGTTAGATAATAAAAATTAAAGGCTTCAGTTATAATAAAGTAAATTGCTTTTGTCCTGTAAATCAGAAAAAAAGAGGCAGCAAAAAGTTAGCTCTAGGGTTTTTTTGTGTGAGAGATTCAATTAAAATATTTTCATGGTTCAGTCTTCCCTGAAATTAATAACCTGCAGCTTTTGACATTACTAAAGCACTAAAACTGAAGAACCTTTGTTAGAAGTTATACAGCAGGGCACAAATTCATCTGGAAAATAAAATGTTAAAACATAAGTGGTGAAACAGTTCTTAACAATGATGTATATAAGTATTCTAGCAGTTGAGACTACAGGCAATCCTCAAGTAATTCCATAAAATTTTGGTAACATTGTGAAGTATTCTTTTTCCTCCAGTGACACTTGCAAATCCATTTCAGCTTGCAAATTGCATTGAGAAACTTGATACAGACTGAAACTGAGATATCATCTGATTTACTATGTAAGTACTACAGAACTTTTTAGGAATCTGTTTTTCTTCTTAGGAAATGGATACTTCAGAGGAGAAGAAGAGTGTGCTGATAGCAGCTCCAGGAACTACACCTGCAAAAAGTGTTGTGGAATTCGCCAGTTCTTCACCAGCTCCCAAAAAAGCACGGGAGGATAACAGCCTCGTGCCTCTTATCATTCCTGTGTCTGTGCCAGTGAGAAAAATTGACTTTCAGAGCCTTGAAAAGGAAAAGTCTGATGATGGAAAGCTCCTGAGAGGCCAAACAAACGATCGAGCTCCTTGTGAATGCAAGCCTTCTGTGATAGTCACTCGAAGGCGATCTAATCGTAGTTCTAACCTGGAAACCTCAAATCAGGTATGGATAGACTAAGAAACCAAAGATGAGCCAGATCTGTTAGGTTGAATTATGCAGTTTTTAGCCGTAGACTTTTCTATGAAAGTAGTTTGATCTCAAGGCTTGAACTTGGAATGTATGTAGTCTGGAGATTTTTTTCATCGTAATATTGCCATATATTTGGGCATTGCTGGCTTTTCATAACCTACAGCTAATGCTAGTACAGCCAAGCACTGCCCCACTGCTAAACAGTAAATAAAACCAGATGGGCAATAACACTAGAATAATAGTCTGTGTCAATAGTGCTATCTCCATACATACATAGATACCAATAAATTGTAAGTGGTGCACATAGCTCTGTATATGAATAAAATCCAAAGTGAAGGTTTATTCTTACGGACTTGAAACCTCCTACTGAGATTCTGAAGGTTGGTACTTAACTGTTCCCCTGCAGTGTGGTGGTGGTGGTGAGTGGGATGGGTTGATTATCTTCTCTCTACTGTCCAGAAGTACAACAGAATGTTCAAATATCAGAGAAAGGGTAGGCATCTGAGGAGGCAATTAAATGCCTGACCATGTCATTAAATACAGTTACATTGTCTTCTGATCACTTACCAATATTTGGTGTCACCCTGGTGTTCCAGGGTTCTGCTATGCTTTTGTGTCCTCCTGTAAAGCTACCATGAAGGTTGGACCAGATGTATGTGTAGTTCTTGTAAAATATAACTTCATAATCACACAGAGCGAGTGCTGCTGCCTAATAGTTCTGTGTCCATTCCATCCCCTGTTTTCTTCCTCTTTCCGTTTTTGAGACACCCTCCAAGTGTTCTATCCAGATTTTGAGCTGCCACGAAAGGATGTTTTCATCTCACTGTAGTTTTTTAAATGACCTGAGATTTGAAAATTAATTTAAGTTTAAAATTAAAATAAAATTTTTTCTAATAGCATGAAGATGCTGTTCCAAAGGATGAAGCAGAGGGCCTTGCCCGAAAACCAAAGCAGCGGCCAAGACCCGAGCCACTCTTCATACCACCAAAAGCTGGCACCTTTATTGCACCACCCGTTTATTCTAACATTACTCCATATCAGAGCCACCTACGGTCACCTGTCCGTCTGGCAGATCATCCCTCGGATAGGAACTTTGAGCTACCTCCTTACACTCCTCCACCAATTCTTAGTCCAGTGAGGGAAGGATCTGGGCTGTATTTTAACGCTATCCTGTCTTCAAGTGGTCATTCGGTTCCACCTCCAGTGACTCCAAAAAGTGCTCACAGAACTCTGCTTAGATCAAGTAAGTTTTCATTTCATCCTTCCTTTCTTGGCTGATTTGTGATTAGGAACTGTAGAGCAATAGGAGTAAGATCATGCCTTTAGGAACTGTAGTTATGTGGAATGGGGTCTTTCATGATTGTCTGGGGAACTGGGATGGAGGAGATGCAATGTTGCTTCCATCAGGGCATGGATGTAAGATGCGGTCGCAAGCAATCTGCAACACCCCCTGCTGACGTTCTTGGGAAGGAAAAAGTCAGTTCCTCTGTAGCAGATTGTGACTGTCTTGAACTGGGGGGAGGAAATCTTGGTCATCTTGAACTCCTTTAGTGTGTTGGGTACCTTTTTTGAGAGATGGACAGCTCTGATTAGATTTGCTGTGTGAAAAGTAAATCACAGATATGGGAGGTTGAGCTGTCTGAGCATTTCTTTCTCCTTGTTGCAGATAGTTCAGAAGTTACCCCTCCAGTTCTTACAGTAGTGGGGGAAGCCACTCCAGTTAGCATTGAACCGTAAGTACCTGATGGATTCTTAGTCTCTTAGTAAATGTGCTTCCTTTCTTCTTCTTAAACCTTCAAGCTGTTTCCTGTATAACCAGTGTATCTCTTGAAAGCCTGAAAACTATTCCTATTCGTGATTGGTAATTGTCTTTATTAAAAATTACTCCATAATATGATTACTGTTTGGGCAAACCTTGTAATTGTGGTGATACTAACTGCTTTCTATTATGGCTTATCTGTCTCTGGGCTGAAATGCTATGAGTTAACTAAACATGAATCTGTCCTGTTTTGTTATATACGAGCACTTCTTTGTGTGCTCTATGTTTGTTTTAGAACAGGAAGATAATGCTCCTTTAGAGAAAGGACAAAATGCAGCATGGAAAACTGTAGTTAGCTGTCACATGGACTGATCAGATTGCAGGTTATCCATGCAGTGTGTTGTAGCTGCAGCGTAACTGTGAACACTTTGTTCCCTCCTGCGCAAGCTCAGTCTGCAAGCACTACAGACAGTGGCATATGGGGTGTGTGCCCTGAGCTAATAAGCTTCATTAGTCTTTTTTAGCTGGCTGTATGTTGGGAAAGCTCACACGTGTTTACATAGCAGCACTAGGGAACACAGTTTGGAGATCCTGAAGCTGGAGTTGTGAGTTCAGGCTTAGTGCCAGTCCTGCTAAACCTGAGCAGAGTAGCAAACCTCTCTACACAGCCCTTTCAAAGCCTTTGGGAGTATTATCAGCTCAAGCTCTGCGCTGCAGCACTACAGCAAGATAGCTCCAGTTTGTTATTATACCTAGGTTAATGAACTCTTGCAAAGTCTAATCATGGAGTTGCATGGCATGGAAACACCCATACGGGATAGGGACACGCACGTGGTTCTGCATCACTGTGCAGTCAGGAATCTCCTCTCTAACTCTGCAATATATCCTGTAACATTTGAGATACTTAACTCAAAAGTCTCCCCATACAAATAGCAGGCTTCTTCTGCTTTTTCTTCCAAAATAACTTATATTTAAAAAATGGACTGGAGTCTTTGCTGACAGTTTATTTCTTGCCCTTTTCCCATTCTACCTTCCTGTTTGAAGCTCAGTTTTTTGCAATTGTGGCAGCAGGCCATCCTGAGCAGATGTTAAAATTGTGCATGAACCCAGATTATTCTTGTCAACTTTGCAAATCTCTAGGCTCAGCCCATTCAAGGAAATAAGCACATTTGGTGGTGTTTAAATTTGTTTTGGAAATGGCCTAATTAATTTTTTTGTTCCCGGTTCGTTTCACCCTAATCCAGGGGAACGTCTTGAACAGATATTTTTTGTCTCCCTCCCCTCCTCCCAGGTCTTGATCTTTGGCCTCTCTATAGTGCAGTTATCTTTGGCTGTTGTGTCTGTTGGTTTAATTTGCTGAAGTTAATGACACAAAGTTAGCTGCAACTTAGTTGCGTGTGTAAATTTGCAAATATGTTGGTGAAAATTTCAAGCTACAGTAACTTAGTAATGTAAGTACGCTTCCTTTTGCCAAAAGGGAGTTATGTGCAAAGAGTTGTGTTGTTATCATAGGTCTTGCTGAACAGATGCTTGTGCAGGTAGATACCTTTTAACTTTTAACCATGCTGAGTTAACATGGTGCAATTCTACATTAATAAAGTAATCAGTTTGTTGCTCTACGGCTAGTTTGGCAGCACTGTTGTGGTCAGTTATGTAGACATATCTTCCTTAAAGGAAATATGGCAGAAAGTACTTTTTAATAAAAGAAAGAAAAAATGTTTAATTTGATTTGTAGTCTTGACTGTCAGAAGTTGTCCTTAACATGTGATTACCCAATAGTGTTCATAATTGCTTGTGCTTTGCCAAGCCTTCTGCTAATGCTTCTCAAAAGGTCACTTCATTGCAGAGGTTTGGAATAGGAAGTGTGATAATGAAGCTTAATTCTTTGTGAAGTGGTATAATAGGCAGCTGGTGTCACAGATCATTGTGTCCTAGTTTTGTGGTTCAGTTGCTTCAGAGTCTTAAAGTCACCCCTCAGCTAGCCGGTCGTAAATATAGGTGTAGTGCATCAGCTATGAGTTGCCTTCCCAATTCACAACTTCAGTTCTGGATGTTGCCACACTCAGCTGCCCACTGAGCATCCCAGGTGTACCATTGGTGCTTACAGACAAGGGCACTTGCTGTAATGAAATCTAGGCTTCATCAGTAAAGGAATAGTGGAATAATGTAGCTTGAATGAACCTCTGGAGGTTCATAAACAGGCCAGCTTGCATCAGGTTACTCAGGTCAACTCTTGCAGTAGAAATTTGGTTTTATTTGGGCATTGCAGGTACATGGTGTAATTCTTAGGTTTTACTAGCTCAGAGATGTCATATTCCAGGTTTAGTTTCAAGATAAAAAGTAACTTCTGATATTCTTTCAGGGCCCACATTCTTTCCCTCCAGCTTTTCCAGTTGTCTCTTTCCTTCTCACAAGTGAGGTCAGAGGAGTCTCTGTTGGGACAAAAAATCTTCGGCATTTTCCAGTGCAGTTTTTCCAGTGCAGCCATTTTATCAGTTTCCACGTGACAGCAAAGTGTCAGTTGCCAGCAGTCATCCCTTCTAGGGCGGAGCATAATCCATAACCCTTTGCTCCTCTGTGAAATTGCATGCCATAACAGTAAGCAATACTAATCACAGTGAGCAGAAGACTGCACATGAACATCATTCAGCAGTCCATCACAGTATGCTGGAAGGGGGGGCTGACTTACCAGGGCAGTTGCTTTGCTTTGGGTTTTAGCAAGGTCTTCTCAGTCTCACATGAAATCTCTTGCTTTTTATTTTTGTCTGGATTGTGCTTTTTCATTCTGAGATGAACAGGGCAAGTGAAGGAAAGATGGAATACTATATAGCATTATAAATAGACTTTTGTACCTGTAGCACACTCAGAACGAAACTTTGAGGTTTTCTTGGGGTTCTTTGTTCTTCATGCATGTTCTACTTACAGTGTGCATTTAAAATTGAATTGCTTTTGAGAAGCAGATCCTGAAACCTGGATCAACCTGCCCAACCGTGGGCATCAGAGATGGGACGTTTTCAACTGCTTTAGTTCTTCCCTGCCCATGGCTGTGATTTGAGATACAGGTATCGAAAGTAGTGTTTTTGGTAAATGACAGGTAGTATTTGTCAGCCTGTCTAAAACTTCCCTGCTAGGTTTGTCATGCTGGGTATCATCGTGCCATCACCTCCTGAGAGGAAGTTAACATCAGTCTGTACATCTAGCAGATTCTGCTTGCCTAAGTAGTCATCCCACCCCATCGCTGTTGAGCTGCTGCTGAGTGGGTAAAGTCAGAACAAGTGTGTAGGGTAGTTAACTTCTGCATCTCTTTGTTTACATGTGAACCATAAACTATTCCCCAGAAGTAGATCTGGATCTGCTAAAGAAGCAAAAGAAATAGTTTGTAAAATCTATTTTTATGTGTGTTATAAGTCAGCTGTTTGGTTTTTTTTTAATGCAGGCTTTTCCAACACATGGCATCTCATGGTGCAAATGCTTAGTGATGGTACGAAAATGATGTATTAGGCAGAAAAGAGGGAATTAAGGTCTTTGCTTCTCCTCCTTCCATAACGGAAAATAATACCTGTTTTCTTTCCTTTGATACCACAGCCTTCTAGGACTTCAAAACACCCTATTGAAAGAGCTGCAAAAATCTCTCTGGATTTTTGTATGGGTTGTATGCATTTTGTTTCAAGGGCTCCTCACACCTTTTCCAAACTCTTGTTTTCATAATAGACATAGAATCACAGAATTTTAGGGGTTGGAATGGACCTTACAGATAATCTAGTCCCAGCCCCCTGCCCTGGGCAGGGACACTTCCCCGCTAGAGCAGGATGCTCAAGGCCTCATCCAGCCTGGCTTTGAACACCACCTGGGTAAGGGCAGCCTGTTCCAGTGTCTCACCACCCTCACAGGAAAGCACTTTTTTCTAATACCTAACCTAAACTTCCCCTCCTTCAGTTAGAACCTATTACCCCTTGTCCAGTCATTGCAGTTCCTAACAGAGAGTCTCTCTCTGGCTCCCTTGTAGCCCCTTCAGATACTGAAAAGTTGCTATGAGTTCTCCACACAGTCTTCTCTTCTCCAGGCTGAATAGCCCCAACTCTCTCAGCCTGTCTTCACAGGGGAGATGCTTCAGTTCTCTTATCAACTTTGTGGCCTCCTCTGGACTTGCTCCAACAGTTCCATGTCATCCTTAAGTTGAGGGCACCAGAACTGCACACAGTATTCCAGGTGAGGTCTCAGGAGAGCAGAGTAGAGGGGAGGGATCATTTCAGAATAGCAGAGGACCAGAAAAATCTGGAGGCTGGCATTTCTCAGATGATTTTGTTACTATTCCTTATTGTGCTTGATCATGCTTTTGCTCTGGTATTTGTGCTTCCCCTCGTGCTGTGGAGGGAACCAAGTCAAGACTTGAGAATTAAGCAAATGTTGTCCTGGGCAGGGAATTTTACCTTATTTCTAATGAAGCAGCTCTGGAATTTAATCATCTTGTGGGCACTGCTTGATCTGTTCTCTCAAAAACCCCTTATTTCTATATACTTCACTATTTCAGGAGCTACTAATGTGATGCTAGTTGACTGACATCTGAAAGGGAAAAACTTTGGCATTAAGTATAGATACCTTATTTCAGAATAGGAGGTTTTCATTATATCATAAGTGGTCTGAGCAGCAGCTGTTTTCAAATATCTTGATTTTCTGATATCTTGGTTTTCCAAAGGTTTTTTTTTGCTAGCTTAGTTTGGACATTTCTTTTGCTCTCCCTTCTGGACCTGTGGATTGCATGCATATTTTTCAGTGTTACTTAGAAAGTGTCGTTGGACTTACTTTACACTGAGTTTGTATAGCTACTGCTGTTTCTCGGTGTATTTTGCCACTGAGATGCATAGCAATGACAAAGGACATTCATGCTGTCACTGCTTGCTGTGCTCTTTGTGTAGACTTCCAGACCTCAAAGTCTGGTAGAGCAGGCATTCAGTGGCAGTTCTTATCTATCTGTGCACACAGTCGTGTTTGCTAGTACAGAGTGGAATCTCTGTGGATGATCACTTGATTTAAAGCAAGTGTACTGCTCTGTGGATTGCATGTAGTGAAAAATGTGTCTGCTAATTCAGATCCAAAAGTATGAGATTGCCGCTAAAAGAATGGGATTTGCTTTTGATACAGAATGAGCAGTACAGCTTTCATTGGTTTATATTTTTGGTTTCAGTTGTTAGAAAAAGTATCTAGAAGACAGTGGCTTGTGTCAAGACAATAAAGGACCAATTTTGATCCTGCTTTGAATGGGAAGTTGGACCAGATATGGTTCTGTCTATGGCTGACAAAACATTAGTACTTAAACCAGGCTCACCTGTCTCAGCCTGAGGAGCAAGCTTGCCATAACAGGAGTCTGTGCAACAGCCTCTCAAAAAGTGATGAATATTGGAAGGTAGTAACTGTTCTTTGAGCAGCTATTAGGGGATGCCAATTTAAATACAATCTCAACCATTGCTGATAAGACAAAGGAAACTGGTAATGGATGTAAAACCTCTCAACTTTTGAGCCATTGCTATTAACATAACCATTAACACAGTTGGTGTTATATGCAAGAGCCTGCTGCATTTGTTCATTCATACTGTTTCTAGCAGAGATGGAGACTTTCTGGATATTGTAAAGGGGGCCTGACCATGACTTTTTTCCTTCTCTGCAGTCGAATAAATGTAGGTTCTCGCTTTCAAGCAGAAATCCCATCGCTCCAAGACAGATCTCTGGCAGAAGTTGATGAACATAAAGCTGAGCTGGTGTGGCAGCCGTGGGGTGACCTGGAAACCAATAAAGTCACCCAGGAGAATGGTAAGAAGGTGGAAGGGTGGTAAACAGGACTGAATTGTCACAACGGTTGTAGGGGTAACCACATATGTACTGTAGGTACAATTTAAAATGTCTCAGAGCTGCCAGTCAAATGACATGTTTGAGTGGTCATGAAAGCAGTTTTCGGAGGAAAGCTTGTTTATCAGGTTGCATGTGTGGGAGAGGGGGAGGTTGGTGGGACTGGGGTTTTTTTAATTGAGATAAAACTCTGGGACAGTTTGTTTCCAGCCTTTTGCTCAGAACATCTTCCTTGTTTTTGTTAAAATGTGAAAGCCACATGCACTCAACTTCTGTATTTTTGAGGGATGTTCTAGACATAATAGTATTTTGGAAAATATGAGTCGTAGACAGAAGTCAGGATAAGGAAGTGGGAGTTGTGGCAGCTGGTAGCAGACCTGGACAGTTGTCTGCTGTTGTTGCGCATGAGTTGTGACCTGTATAAATCCTGAAGGGAAGAGGTAGTGGGCAGGCTGGGAAGAAGTCATTATGATGAGAGAGGTATTGTGAAATGGAAATTCACAATATAAGGGGTGGGGATTCAATAAATCTCTGGGATGAAGAGAGCTGGGAAGACATTATAGGAGAGAGATTTGTAAGAAACTCCATGTATGTATAGTGCTGCATAACCTTGTGGTCTAGTGAGTTCTTGTGTCCAAATTTGCACAGATAAATTTGCAAGGACATTCAGCTTCTCTGAGAGTTTTGCTTTGTTATGTCTAGTCCTCCTTCAAAAGAGGTAACAAATCATGCAAGTCCTGTAGGAAACTTCGTTTTAATCTTATCTGAATGTTTTTTTCATACTCCTGTGAAAACAGTGGAAAACCTGCTAGCTGCTGCCTGTTCAAGCATTTTTCCTGGGGGTGGAACCAACCAGGAGCTGGCATTGCATTTCTTACATGAAGCAAAGGGAAGCATTCTGGTGAGTCTTACCAACTGTTCACCTCATTGTCAAGGATGTTAAGGTCAGGTAACCTCTCATTCCTGAGGGGAGAGCTTTGCAAACTCCTTTCTGTGCATCTGGCTCTCACTGTTTAGTGTCCCTTGGATGTCCCTAAGGTGGGTTCTGTCTGATATGCAGTGCCACATTCACTTACTATCTTTTATATTTCCAGCTTTGGCATGTTTGGCTCTTTAACAGTCACATTGACAGTCTACCAGGGCGAGTGAACTGAGAATGCTAAATTAATCTTAAATATTGTCTTCTTTGGAAGATTGTCGTGTTGGAAGGAAAAATAAGAGGCTGGGGCCGAAGTTGAGGCAAAGTGCTGTGTCTTGCTTCTCTTTGTTCTGACTTAACCATTTAAATTTCCCATGTGTTTATAGAACAGCTGTGCTGCTAATTTTATGTCAGTATTATAAGACATGATACACTTTCATTATTGCTCTTTGACACCCTGAGAGATAATATCAAAGAGCAGAGCATAGCAAATGGCACAGAGTTGTCATCCTTTTGTAGTTCTGTGATTGATTTAACCTGGCATAAATAAGCCCTGTGGTCAGGAAGGATACTGAAGAAAGGTCATATGGGATATAGTGGCTGCTTGTTTCCCCATCCCCTGGCACGTGTGAGACTGCATTGACCTGCATCAGAGAAGAGAAGAAATACCAAGGAAATTTTCTGTGTATGTGTTAGGTTGCTGCTTAGGTAAGTTTCCAGAACCAGACCACTGTCATGAATGCTGTTGCTGGCATTAGAGAGGAGCAGGACTGCCCCTGATGGTAGGAGCTCACTGTTGAGGTGTTTTAAGCTGCCAGTGGAAGCATGACTCCTTCCTTTGAGAGCACTATGAAAGTACTTCTGGTTTAAATGCAAAGAGAGATGTGTGGGGTTTTTTGTGTATGTGCAGAATCTTTCAGTCACATGACTTTTATTTTGAAATACTGCTTAGTTAAGTGAGATCAGATCACAGTGACTTGGATGTGTAAGACAGGCAGCATTTTTGGATGTGAGAATGTAACATAGGCCTTTGGTGAAAGAGGTAACTGCTGCATGGTCTCTGTCTATGGAGTTAGCTGTCTCCCAGTGCTGTGGTAGTTGCATGAATTCACAGATGTGAAGAGGTGTTGAGTGTGCTATTGCCCTGTGGTCCCTGAGACTAGGTCGATTAACCCAGGAGAGGATTAACAATTGCCTGATCTTTGTTTTTACTATCCCAAACATTAATTACTGTGTTTATCTTAGGATGCTTTGACCAAGCTGCTGTTGAAGAGACCAGTGCGACCACCCACCCACCCTTTGGCAGATTATCACTACACAGGTTTGTTAACCAGAATAGATCCATTCTGCCTGCCTATCATACAAGAACTTTTCTATCCTCTTTTGACATTTTGGGGAACTCTGTAACATTACAGTAAGATTAAAAGACCACTCCTCTCTGGTAAATCAAATGATGGCTTGCCAGAAATTTTGCCTGTGCAGATTATGACACTTATGTAGGAAACACTGCACCTCTCACAGCATGTGCATGTATGTATTGGCATGTGTATGTGTTCTGATTTCCTCTATGGGGGAAAAGGGAATGCAGTCCCTTGCACTAAGCCACAGAGAATGCAGAAGGATAGCTAGTACGTACAGGAAAGGCTGTGGTAGCCTCAGAACCACTTTCTCTCTAGCATGAGTTTCCAGGGTGGAGTTAAGCCAGGGGTTTTATGGGAAGAGTTTTCAAGGTTGCTGAACAAACCTCAGCCAACTATTGATGCCTGTCAGTATTTCTGCAAAATTTAAATGCTATAAACTGCCTATGTAGTCTTGTACCTGATGAGAAAATGGTCAGCCACTAACTTCAGTCATCTGTAGTGACCCAGGACACCTGAAAGACCTGATGTAAGGTGGTAGAGAGACATAATAGCTGGCGCCACACATTTCTTCATTATTACACTCTCCTACTGTAATGGTTGGCAAATATTACTTGAGTAATATCTGTAAGGGAAGAAGATATTTTTCAAAAATGTTATTATTATTAGAGGCAAGGAATATTTGAGGAATGAGACGAAATAAATCTTCAAGTACAGTTGATTTCTGCTAGAAGAGAAGATCCTGTTCTCCTGCCCCACCATTTCTCTTCTATAAAATCTAATGACTGGGCCACTGCAAAGTGTGTCTCTTCACCTTGCTGTTTGGTTGGACAACATCTTAGCTCATCTGATTGAGTGGTTTTTGCAAGCTGACCCAAGTTAACCTGTGGTGACGAGCACTAGATCTAACACAAGAAGTGATGAGAGGAGAGCTGAAGTGAAGCTGTAGGGGAGATGTTAACAGCAGTCTGCAGTTTTGCTGGCATAGGTGTGAGGAGAGACTGTACCCCTTGCATGTCTGTATTGGTCTTATTTAAGGCAAACATGAAGAAAAGGTACATGGAAGAGTGAACATTTGAAATTGCATGGACTTCAATTACAACCTTTTTTTTTTACCTACAGGATCAGACAAGTGGAAAGTTGCAGAAAAAAAGCTATTCAACAAAGGCATTGCAATCTACAAGAAAGACTTTTTCTTGGTCCAAAAGCTTGTAAGTTACTTTTTCCTTTCAATTACGGCAATAATACATTCTTAGACATTTGTTGAGCTTTTAGTACAGGGAGTTCAATCTTGATTTTTCTGAAACCTCAGTATTAAGCAATAAGTCCTACACTGAAAAGATTTCAGAGAAATGTTATCATCCAGCACAACATAAAATCTCACTAGAAAGCTAGAACAATAGTGTTTGTTTCGCTGTTGTTGTTTAATTAACCCTGGTACTTATTGCATTGCTTCCATTAGTCCATGCTGCAGATATCTCCTCTTTATAGAGCCCTGGTAACGCTGGGCTTAAATGGCTTATGAAACTAAATAGAAACACATCCTTGCCACCAATGGAGGGGACCAAAGAAGGATATGTGAATGATGCATCTTTTAGGATCTCTCAATCTAGTTTTCTGTGACAGTGTTCATAAAAATGATCCCTCCCATATTTTCATGAGGTGTGACACGTCAGCGAGGGGGAATCACTGGAGAGTACAAAAGCACGAGCTGCAGACGTACTTAACAAAATAATTCCCCGAAGACATTTAAGTTGTGAAAGCTCAGAAGCTAAGAATTTATTCTAAAACTTCCAGAAAAATCACTGACACAGAATATGTAGATGGTCACGGGTCTGTACTGATAATTGTTGTCTCGGTTTGAGAGACAGGTAT